GGCAAGTATAGCTTAGAATCGCTAGCCTAGTGAAGTTCCCAATGTCTCAACCGCACCCGCATCCATTGTATACAAAAGTGCATATTAGTGTAGAAGTAGTGAAGTAGATTAAGAAGATTTCATAGTGATGAGGATTAAGGAGATCTTTGTAGATCTTCAGTTAATTCATTGTGCATTTTGCCCTCAACTACACACGCTTCCTCTCGCAGTGCTACAGAGCCTGTGTGAAGATCAATTACTTTCTCATGTGGCCCAATGGGTTCAATATGCGACCAAAAGAACTTGATACACATTTTTGCTCCCGGAGACGAATGAAAAGCCCATACAAGGGGCAAACTCTGCAATGGGCGGCAATCATTGGTGGCGGCTACCGCTACACTATCATGCACATTGACGGCGTACACAATTGATGGGCGGATCTCATGAGTCGTTGGGGACAGCATGTGGAACTACAACATCCGAGACACGTAACAATTCAACGGCGAACAAAATTGATAGCGGCCAAGAGACCAAGTCTACACTGAAGAAGTCGCCAAATCTACGCCCTCTCGACGTAAAATGACCTCTCTATAGAACCAATGAGTTCCTTGATTGTACGAGCTCTCTTCTGGTACTGCAGACTTTGAATAGCATTAAAAACGCCTAAGACGTTGAAGTCTGGGCTATTGAGAGGATGGTTCGAAATGCTTATTTGATTGACACCATTGGACTGCACCAGGTGAGTTGTCAAACGCCGGTGAGGGCCTGCTGTTCCCACGAGTTTGCAACAATTGCCGGTACCACATTGTTAACAACATAGTCAAAATAGACCTGTGAGTCGACAATTTGCGGCGTAACAATAGTCCCTTTGGGGAGATATTTACTATTTCTAGCTGCCATTGGCTTGTGGTCTGACGCTCTTGGTGCACTCGCAATCCACCAGTGGGTACGACCAGCGTCGGCTCTGGTGCTCCACATCCTTGTCAGCGCTCGATCCGTCCGACCTGCGAGTGTATCGATGCCACTACTCCTCCACAAGTAGCTTACAAATCGGGGTACATATCAACTGGCAAGGAAAGGTTTGAATGTGCATCTCGAGACGGAGTCACTTGCGTTGCCAAGGCTCAAACTCTCGAAGCGTGCACGGCATTGTTCTGGGCACACACTAACCACAGCGTCATCGACGTGTTAATCTGTATAGAAGCCCAATCGTCCCAGCCAGGGCATTGGTGCTCATTGATTCCTCGGTCTGTGTTGCGAAATTGTCATTCGCAGAACCCCTGAACCCCTCCCAAGAAGGTATCCAAGTGTTTGATTAGGTTGGATATCCTGTGTGCGATCCTATTCGCAAGTTAGATTATTGGCTGTCCAGCAGCTGTCTAAATAGGTTAGGGTAAAACTCCAGTGACTTTTGCCACTGGGGGGAATTCACTTCATGATTTGCCTTTGGATCGGACATCGCAAGGTCCGTCAAGTTGAGACGCAACAAAGAATTCTTTAGTAGCAGCCTGCTACTTGCCGTACGAGTATGGAACAAGGAAGTTTGCCGTTTACGAGCAACCTGGCTCGTGAGACGCGAACGCGGTCTATGGAGACCGTGGTGGCCGTGCTTCCTCCGCCGAACCAAGCGGAGATGGACGAGCTGCGGATGCAAAGCGTGGAACGAGCGGCGATGACGTCAAGTCATTTCATCCAAATGACGTACGATCAGCTGGCGCAGTTCCATGAGCAGCAAGAAGCATGGCGAAGCGGATGGAAGATGAGTCTTCCCTACAGTTTGCGATGGCGAAGGCGATGGAGAAGAATCGCATGGAACAAGAAGAATCTCGAGCGATTCTTTTACGTCAACAAGAAGAACTGGTTTGTCTGCAAAACGAACTTAAGCGAGCGATGACCGAACAAGCCAGGGTCTCCGAAGCGCATCAAGAAATGCTCCGCCAGGCGTCGGACGCGATGCGCCAGCAGAGCTACAAGGTAGAAGAGCTGAACCAGAAGGTACGACGGGATAGCGTGCGATGGAGATTATTCGCTGAAGCGACCAATCAAGGATCGCATTTCCGTCCGAACAAGCGGCGCCGACAAGCCGCATGGAGAACCTCATGGGTGTGCAACAGGTGCCGCTGGCATCTATGTACAAGGGTAGCACGAAGCGCGAGCGTCGTGAGTTCATGGACGAGTATCTAGCCCACTCGCGACGCGTGGAAGTGCTAAACCGCGGCATGGGCGGTACCATGTTTTTGATGCCGTTGGCGGCATGCATTGACCAGAAGATTTTGCCGCGTGTGTGCGCACATGATTTTGGAAAGTCGTTTGAAGAAATTACCGAAAACGACTGGCGTGACTACTTTTTATCGGCGCGTGAGGTCCAAAAGTTGGACCTGGACTCGGTTGCGAAAGCGATGGCGTCGCTCAAGATGGGCACGAAGATTTGTGACGCTGAGTCTCGAGTCGGTCGGCTGCTATCCGATTTCTACGACAAGTTGGAGCAACTGGATGTGGCGCACTTGCCGGAGCAGGAACCAAAGCAGTCGGTCAAGATCCTCACGGCGGCGATTCGACCGCCGTAGTTGAAGTCAACCGTCGAGCGACAGTTGACGCGGGAAGCTAACAAGGCGTACAAGTCCGACGTAAAGTCGTTCTGCCGCTGGTTAGTGTCCCTAATGGACAACTTCATGTTGTTCGAGTCGCAATTAGTTGCGATGTATCCAAAGCCGGAGCCAAATAGGCCGCGGCAATATGGCGAAAAACCGCGGCGCCAATTACCACCGAAGAAAGCGGATAGCGGGGCGCCAGCCAGAGCCCCGGCGATGACCACTACAAGCGCCCCGTATGCGAGGGGATCTTTAAAGTGTGGTAGTGAAGACCACAAGGTGTTGAGTGCCCGAAGTGCCAGCCCGGAGAAGCACAGCGACTCCTGGATCAGCGGTTCAAGAAACCGTATGTCGCTGATGTGGCCGCCGGACAAGAAGACCGACAAGAAGACCAAGTTTATTAGCGTAGCCGTGGCTGCGAACGATTTGGTCGAAGCGCGCGCTCATCGCACCTTGGATTGCGACATCAATGGCCTCAAGGTGACGACACTACTCGACGGTGGTGCTGACCAATCGGTGTTGTCGCCGACGTTTTTATCACGTCTGGAAGAAACGGGCAATTTTACGTCGCCGGTGCGACAGCTGGACGACGCGATGGAATTGGGCGGGTTCATGGAAGGCATGAAGCTCGATGTGGACCGCGACGTCAAGCTACGTCTGACCTTTGAAACGGGCTGGTGATCGCGAACCTCAAGTGTTGGGTGGCGGCGGCGCCACTACAAGACGGCCTGGGCGATCTAATCGTGAGTCGCGTCGTGATGGCGAAACTCGGGTATTGTCCCCGTTCGTTGCTGCTGAGTGCGCGGCGAGCGCAAAGCGTGTACGGCCTGGACCAGTTGGGCGTGACTCCTGATTGGTCGAAAGAAAACTACCAAGCTGTGGTGCACGCGAAGCTGAAGGAGAAGGTCAGCGAATGTCGTGCCGCGGGATGCGACGAGGATACGGCGCTATGGGTACTGTTATTGCACTACGAAGACGTGTTTCGGCTTTCGTTGGGCCCAGATCCGCCGGTGGACGTGGCGCCGCTACGTGTGACGCTCAAGGATGGCGCTGAACCGGTGCGGTGCAAGGCGTGCCGCTATTCGAAGGAGCAGCGGGGTTATGTTACCGCAATCCCCGGTCAAAATGATGCTCGTACATTAATCGTCAACTAGCACGAAGCGAACGATTTTCGCATGACCGTGGACGTCCGTCCAGTCAACGCACAGACGGAGCGCATCATTTGGCCGATGCCGATGCTGGAGGTGATTCTGAATCACCTCGTAGGTGCGAGGATAAAATATTTCCACATAAGAACTGCTGAGGACCACATAGGAATTGCTGAGAGCCACATAAGAATTGCTGAATCGCACATATTTTCTGCTGAAGGACACATAAGATTTGCTGAATTGAATATAGAGTATATTACACAGCGAGATCCACTTCGGCAGACAGTGCGTTATGAGAATTTCTGGACACGTGTGACTATTAGCAATGTGATTGGTTAATTAACAGTAAACTCGCATATGAAGGAAATCACGAAATTCCTTAAACTTATCGACTGTAAACTCGCATATGAAGGAAATCACGAAATACCTTATCGACGGCCCTATGACCAACCACCGATTGATGGCATGAAGCGGACGCGAATCACGATGTAGTGTAAACTGTATTATTACTGCGAGTAGCTATACGTATACATGGGACTAAACCTCGAACGATTGCTTCAGGCCTCATGGCCTGGAGCAGTCGTGTGAACTGTACTGCATGCTACCAGACTCCCACAGCAACCAGCCTACGCCACAAGCCGCCAAAGTTCCACGTATATCGTATATCGTGCTTCGTGCTGCTTCTGTAAGACATCTTCTATAGTCGTGATTTATGTAGTGCCTAGATATAGAATGAACCTTGCTAGCGGTACTAACGGATGGCTGAATCCGCAAGGGGATCGATTATTTACATACCCACGGACCCACTGAGCAGTGTGTGTGAGGTGGCAAATTGAAGAATGACGACATTGAAATGTGTGGTTGGCCATAAAATACTAAAGTAACTAGCCTTGCTTTGCAGATGCCTTATTCACAACTAATAGAATGATAAGGAGATGAGCTGATACAGTATAGTAGAGAATTTGCCCGTAGTTGTTGCTCGCATCAACGACGGGCAAATCCATTTCTGCTAGTAAGGCA